CTTACGGGACTCAGGGCGGTGAACAGGCAATAATAAAAATCACAATAAATATTGAATAAAAAGCCTGCTCTAAAATACCCCATATAAAACCCCTAGCAAAGCCCAATCAAAACTACGCCAGGCCGGCCGCATGGAATAGATGGGTTTTCAAGGCTCGGCGGAAGAGGCACAGGTCCGTAGTTGTACGTAGGTCGGGGGGGTAGGTCATTCCAGAGGGCAGGAGCTGCCACCGAAAAGGCTTTCCCCCTGGGGGTCGCCAGCCGGCATTGACTGGCCGACGGCACCCTAAGGAGGCCCTCTCTGTGGGAGCGGATGGGTCGAAGGGAGACCTCTGAGGAATCCATCAACCACTTTTGAGAGGGATTAATCTACTCGTTCCCCCTTTCTTGCAGGATAAAGAGGTCAACCTAGAGCAGGTCCATCGGCGTATGAACAGTTTAATGGATGAAGACTTAGCTCACAAGCAACTTTCTCCGGCCTCCATTGAAATCTCAGCCTTGGAGATCGGTGGCATGCCATCCAGCCAAGCCCTGGAGCCTGTCCGTGAATATCAGAACACACAACTTTCTGTCACCTCTTTTTTACCTGAACAGACAGGCCACGGAGGCAGTAGGACACTCTCCGGTGCCTCCGGGAGCAACCTGCAGCTGCCCCTTAGCAGCTCAGCCACAATACCCTCCATACAGTGTAAACACAGATCGCCGAACGGAGGACTGTTTCGCCAGAGTCCCGTGAAGACCCCCATTCCCATGTCATTCCAGTCTATGCCAGGCGGGATCATTCCAGAGGGCCTGGAACCTTCCCACGGAACATCCATATAAGGGGAGGCGTCGACCAGCGGAGATTTTTAATACAACGGGGGGAAATTTAAAAAGAAAAAAGAAAAAGACTCTTGCATTTTTCTTGTACATATCTGTAAATAATGAAAGAATGAAGTGGGGTTAAAAAAAAAGTGTATTTTGAATATTCCCAATTTTCAAAGTCAGTAAAAAACAAACAATACAAAAATACAAAAAAAAAATTGAAAGAAAAAAAGAAAGAAAAAATGTATGAAAGACTTTGTAAATTTTGTTCTCTATGAATAAAAAAAAAAGGCAGAAGAACTTGTGATCGTTCTCAAGTGACAAAGGCCCACCCGTCATGGGGACCAAAGGCAGGGAAAATTTCCTCCTAATATTTATTTTGATTTCTTGTTTTGGAAGCAGGGCAAGTAACACTTCTTGGGTATGGGGTCTACTTATTTTTCTACTTATATTTGCTCCTGTCTCATACTCACAGCTCTTCTGAAAGTTTAACGGTGGTGGGTCCAACTGAAATGTTAACACGATGCTGGTATAATAAATGCGAGGTGGCCAAGCTTCCTTGCTGCAATTTAACAATGGGTACTGTCAGTGGGTACTGTTTTGAATGACAGGCTCAATCCTTCGTCCATTCTGAAATATATTTGGTTGGTGCAAAAGTATCCTTCAAAGTTTCAAGTCTGATTTGGTGAGTTCTATCAATAACCAATGTTCAGCCTAATCTCAGTTAAATAAGCTTCCAGCAATGTCACTGAAGACACAGTATAGGAGAACTACAAGACAAGTGTTTGATTGCAGACATTCCTCTTCATCCATCTAATTGGTAGATGTCCAAAGGTTTCTGGTGGATCCAGCTGAGATGGTGGAGGGTATGCATATTAAACCTTTGCATTTTATGATGAATGTGCAAGTTACTGCCAATATGGCTAATCAGAATTGTTATTATTCTTCCTCACCCATTTAGTTGTACATATATAGCAAAAAAAGAAAAAGAAAAAGAACTCTGGCTTCATTGAATCAAGCACTGAGCAATTTTTGAAGCTTGGTTTCAGTGATATGGTCAAATTAGACCGCAATTTGTTTTGTGTTTGAAGATTTATTACATACTAGCTGTACCCAGCCACGCGTTGCTGTGGCTCAGTCTGGTAAAAGCGTGTGTTGCTTTCACATCCAACAGATGGCACTGTTTTTCAAAAAAACAGCATATTTTTACCTGTCACAGGTATGACATCTATATAATATAGGCATATAAAGAAACACGCGCGTATTCGAATGCAACATTGTGTCAAAATTTCAAAGCAATCGGTGAAGAACTTTCGGAGATTTAAGATTTTGAACAAACGAACATTTACATTTTTATTTATATAGATTGAACTAGAAAGTCTAGTTCAAAATGTTGTATTGATAACAAGGTAACATGATGTTTACTTAGTTTCCCCCACCCCCACTTTTCCATGGGTTGGACTATACACAAATTTCAATGTCACACTTGCTGAATGCTGAATTCTCATTCCTTCCCTTAATATTTATATAGGCTTTGCGGCCAATTTCATGCGATGGGTCCACAGTTCTCAAACTCACAGGGATGCTGTGGGGTGATTTAAAGGTAGTTTTGCTCTAGACCTGTTATGAAAAAAATTACAGAGACATTTATGGAACCTGAAGCAAGAACGTTTGGGATAGGTTATCATTGGTGGGATACAGAATAGATGAAATGTCTTGATTTGATGCGTGGGATCTCCATATAGGACAGCCTTTGTAATCATCAACTTTTAACTCCATACTGTCAGAGAAAGAAGAAAGAAAGAAAGAAAGAAAGAAAGAAAGAAAGAAAGAAAGAAAGAAAGAAAGAAAGAAAGAAAGAAAGAAGAGGGAGGGAGGGAGGGAGGGAGAGGGAGAGAGAGAGAGAGAGAGAGAGAGAGAGAGAGAGAGAGAGAGAGAGAGAGAGAGAGAGAGAGGAAAGAAGGAAGGAAGGAAGGAAGGAAGGAAGGAAGGAAGGAAGGAAGGAAGGAAGGAAGGAAGGAAGGATACATGGTCCAAGGAAACTTCTCCCAAATCCCTCCATCACATTGGTCCTGTTTGATCTCCTTCACCTATCTCAGGCCTTATCGACACAAACTGCTCATTATCTGATATAATTCTGACAATTTCAACCTGCAGCCATGTAAATACATTCCTGGTCCTCCTAAAATAATCAAACAAAGTCACTTTCCTATGTAGATCATTTCCCTCACCAGGTTGAACATGAAGCATGGAGTGTGCTCCCACTTCCTTCATTGCAATGCAAAGTGATATGTGGAAATGGAAGACTTGTAGACTTGTTAAGCTTTTCATTTCCATGACCCCACCACCAAGTTGTCTCTTTCCAGGTCTGATGTAACATTACGAGACAAATTCCAGAGTCCGCTGTATATAGCAGAAGACTTTTAACTGAATTAAGAACACTGCGGTGCTCTTAATGTCAATGGTGTGTTCATTTCGGCAGATTCCTCTGGAAGGAACACCATCATAACATATACATGCATAGTGACACACAGACACACAGAGAGACCACTTTCTCAGTTAATAGTAGATAATCTAAAAGAGAAAAAATGGGGCTTGAAAAATCCATTGAATCTCCATCCAATGGGTCTTTGAATCTTGGCAAGGGTTTTTCCTAGTTGATGGTTACTGGAATTATCCTTCACCTAATGTATTTGCAAATTCACACTGCTATTGTCTTCAAAGGGGAAGTTATCTGCAGGATTAAGCACGAACATTAAAATATCAGCTATCGCAGTAAGGAAAAGGATGTTAAGGAGATACTCCTTTATCTATGAAATTACACTGAATATTCTCTTGATGTTATCAAGGAATGTTTGCCCTTTTTTGATCGACCTACAAGTTTAATATGGTTCCCAGAGATGCCAGTTAATCAGCATAGGTGCAAAATCCTATCGGTTAAGTATGGATATAGGATCTATAAAATGTCACTATAATATTTTTAATTTTAATTTTCAGTACTTTCTTTTTTGTCTCTCGCCAGGATTCTTTATTTATTTCTGTTCGCAATAATTTATCAAAGATCAGCAAAAGGTTAAGTGAAGATAAATTAATTTTCTTTTTTGTCGAATTCATCCAGAATAGTTGACATTTTGTTACCCTTTTATTTTTAACAATTTCCCTAGTTCTTTAGTCATTGCTCTCTGATATTTTTTTTTAAAAAATCTCTTCTATGTACAGCTTAGAATGTGTAGCCATGAAATTATCAATGTTTTTGGCCTATAGTGAAGGAACACATCACAATTGTGACAGACAATATTCAAGCTATAAAACCATACAAACTATAGAAATTCAATTTATATATTCTATAAGAGCTTAATAGATTATTTCCTTCTATTTTATGTCAGTTTATAACTCAGAAAGGTGGATATTGTTAGTTTTACAGGAGTTTTTAATTTTGTGATACCACTGATAAACAAATATTGTTCCATTACATTTGGCAAAACTGGATTGAAAAAAAAATTGTCCTTTCTGTATTATATCGATGGTTCCCAGCCCATCTGATGCATAAAAGCATTAAAAAATATTCTTGCGGTAAACACCAAATGTACCCTTTGAAATACACAGAATTTGGTGACATCCCCAAATCTCAAACATTTTGTCTAAACCTTGGATAATGTCTCAGAAATGTGAGGATCTCACAAGATTTTGACCATATTTTTATTTAATTTAATTGTTACATGATTTTGTGAATTCTCAACATACTATTGAAAAGAAGATCTTATGTGTTAAATTGCTGATTCCCCATCACATCCCACCTTGTAGATGGCCCTTATAGAGTTGGATGATCTCCTGAAAAACCAGGTTGGCAATCTTTATAAAAAGTGCTTTATAAAAATTGTTCCATTGAACATCAATAGCATCCATAAATGTAATATTTATTGCAATATTGCTGTACACAATAGATCAAGTGCATCAAACTCGAACAAAGCTTGATTTTTGAAGGAGACCAGGCTTACAGTAATAAGAAATGTTTTGCACGCCCCCCTGAAGAGGTTATAATCAAGGAGAGAAGCAACCTAGAACTAAGGAGAAACTTCCTGACAGTTAGAACAATTAACCAGTGGAACAACCTGCCTGACAGTTAGAACAACAACCCCAGCTGGGGGGGAGGGGAAAAGGGCCGTGTGAATGACGAGTTGGCATGCAAGTGGTGGGACAGTGCACATATGCATGTGTGTGCAGCTCGACATGCGCTCTGTGCATGCACGCTGGCTCGCCGCTCACACAAGTCAAGCTGGGCACACACACGTGCGTGCTGGCCTGCCAGTCACATAACCCAGTTCTGAATAGGCCACAACCTGTTAGTGGGCTGCGGCCCGGGGATTGGGGACCTCTGATCTCATTTGCTATATAAACATCCAATAAAGAAAATAAAGAAACATGACAGAAACATATCCTGAACCCAAACTTTAATTAGATGTCGAGGGGCATCCAATTCATAGTCAAAATACTCTGTCTTATTCATTTGTCCTATTTTTGCTAGTTTTCGCAAACTATCAAGGTCGCATGCAACAGGTAAACAACAAACTTCAAACCGTCAGCAAGAAAACTCCTTTAAAGTTAGAACAATTAACCAGTGAAACAACCTGCCTCCAGAAGTGGTGAATGCTCCAACACTGGAAGTTTTTAAGAAGAGACTGAAATGGAATAGGGTTTCCTGCCTGAGCAGGGGTTTGGACTAGATGACCTCCAAGGTCCCTTCCAACTTTATTATTATTATTATAAGGTATTAAAATAATAAAATCATGAACGCTATTTTAAAGGCCAAGAAGGTCTGTAGCAAATTCCTTTTCTTGGAAAACCAAGGAAAAAGAGATCATCCCAACTCTGAAAAAAGATGTAGCCCAGACATCAGGATTTCAGCAAAATACAGAGGGACATTTACAACGAAGAACACTTTTAAGTTAAGCCCAGTGGCTCCGCCATTTGACTCATTCTGCAGACATTTTTACATGCTTCAGCAGGAAAAAAAACCC